AACTTGAGCGTCGGAGGGTTTTCTAACTCTTTTTTGCAGGGACGGTTCGAAGTGAAGAATTCTGGAAATCAGGGGGAACCAGCGATGGGTAGGCCATACCATCGCTGGGAGGGAAGTGTTATTTTTTTTCAGAACCCCTCTTCCCATCGATGGGTGCTTCTTCCCATCGATGGGTAATTGACTCTTTTTAAAAAAAAAACACTTAACGGATTTCCAGAACACCCTAACCCATCGATGGGTATTTTATCCCATCGCTGGGTGAAGAACCCTTTTCGGACATCTTTTCGGACATCTTTTCGCTGGGTGTCTGACACTTTTTTTAAAAACATCTTTTCGGATTTCCAGTAGCCACCTTCCCATTGATGGGTAAGTTCTACCATCACTGGGAAGGCAGCCTTGTTCTCTCCTTCGCATTCCAGTGGCGACCTTCCCATCGATGGGAAGATCTACCCATCGCTGGGAAGGCTGGTGCATTTCAAAAATTCAGAGCCGTTGGGCACCACCTTAATTTCCCAACAGCCATATTTTTGAATCCAAACGGCCAAATCCTTCCTTCCCTATATATATCCATCATATTTGTTCATTCTAATACACCATTAACATCATATTTTCACTCCTTCATCCAAATCTACTTAGTTCATCTCTCGTTTTTCAAAAGCATCTCAATCATGGCCGGAGGAAAGTCCAAGAGTAAGGCCTCCAAGAAGAAGACCGTCGCCGAGGCCACGAGCTCTGCGCCTCAACCTTTCCCGTACCTGGACGGATCCTTCTTGGAGTTCGGGTCGGAAGAGGAACTCTCTCGCTTCATCACCTACTTTGCCAAGCGCCCGATCTCTCCGCCCCGCGTGCTCCCGGAGCTATACCCTCAACAAAAGGGGTACCACGACCTCGACAATCAACTCAAAGAGTCGGGTCTGTGGCCGTTCGTCTCCAGAAGCCGTCAATCCTTCAATCCCACCTATGTTCGGGCCTTCTACTCCAATCTCCGGAGCAGCATCAATCTCTATGACATAGAGTTTGACTTGGCTACTTTTGCTAGGGTCGCAGGGCTGCCTACCCGCGGTGACGACATCGCGTCATACGGAGGCGACGATTGGATCCTCAACAACGAGGCCGTCGTCATTCGTGAGCTCGGGATCACCAACTTGATCCGTCACAGCGGCGCACCGACGATTCACTCGGCCCCACCGGAGAAGCGCCTCCTCCTCTACATCATCACCCGGATTCTTCGCCCTCGGGACAGTAGCCACACCAGTCTCTCCAACGAAGATCTCAGGGTAGTGCACGCCATCATCCATGGCGCCTCGATCAATTGGGCAAAATACGTCATGATTCACATGACGGATTGCGCCTCAATCGCCACCGAAAGGAGCTTGCCATACGCCTTCCTCGTCATGGACCTCATCGTCTCCGCCGACATCCACATCGCCGGGCCGGACACGAAGATGACGAAGCTGTGGCTCATCCAAGACAGCACCTTCCGGAAGAAGTCCGGTGACCAAACAGGCGCTGGACCGAGTCGGGC